TCGCGGAGGTGTTTGGCTGCGTATGTTTGTGCGTGTGTATATGCATGCGAATGCACGTGCGCGTGTGCGCGCGCGCACGTGTGTGTGTGTGTGTGTGTGTGTGCGTGTGTGTGTGTGTGTGTGTGAGGAGAGATGACAGCTGGGGGCAGGGGCACGCGAGGTGTTGTTTAGTGTGCACCACGGACGTGCAGGGGCTGTGCAGGGTCCATGGCACCGTGCACAGTCGCTGTGATCCAGGCCGCGGCGTGGGTGGGCGTGTTGCGAGTGGTGAAGCTTGGTGGGGTCAGTCGCAGATGACGAGTGGGCGGGACCCGTGTGTGGGCCGTCGTGCACCAGAACACACAGCAAGGCATGCACGCGCGGAAGCAACGAAACCGCCACCGCACTGACGAACCGCCGCCAAAGGTGTTGAGTGACAACGTGCCCGTGGAGGTCGACGCGATCGAGGCGCTCGTGGGTGCCGCCCTCGAGGGCGTTGGCGCACGCGGGGCCGCCGCAGCGGGGGGCGGCGGCAGCGCCGAGTCTGCCGGCGAGCGCGCGCGGGCGGAGGCCGCGGCAGTGGCGGCGTCGCAGGGGCAGCAGCCGGCTTTTGCGGCGGCGGCGTGACGGGCGCGGCGCATGTGCATGCGGCGCGTGGGCAGGGGCCCGTGGTGGACCAGGAGCGAGGCAGCGCCTGCGCAGGCAACTGCGCGAGCAGCACCCAATCATTTTCAGCGATCGGCCGCCTGCGCGCATACGCCACGCCAGGGACGCAGCGCGCCTGGCCGCGCACGACGTCGTCTTTGTCGCCGCAGCCGCTTGTCCTGTCGGCTGCAGCAGCACGCGCAGCGCTTGCGATGAGGCAATGGTGCGAGCCAGGCAGCCAGTGCACAGGCCCTGGGACCTAGTGCTGAGCAGCAGCTCGCTGGGTTGGCCTGCGCCCTGCGGGCACGTGCAGCCAGCCTGCAACATGTGCCTCAACTGCAGCTGGCGGGCCCCTACCTAAGTGCAGCTGGCGGGCAAATTCGCCCTGCCGCTCCTGGCTTGCTTCTTCCTTGTCTTTGGCGCCATGCCACGCCCTGCCTATGAGTGACCTTGATGCACTTTTTTTGGTACGTGGAGAGGCCGGTCGGCAGAGCGCAGGGCAGCTGTTGGGGCCACCCCTTGTGGATGACACCCCTCCCATCTTGTAACATACATGGATGCACTTTGGTATGTGAGCGTGTGCGTGCGTGCGTACGTGCATGCATTCGTGTGTGTGTTTGTGTGTCAAGTTTGTAGCAATCCGCCACCTCAGCCTTGTTAGTACATTTGTTCACAATGAAAGCGGCCCATTGCTTGCGGCGTTTCTTTGGTCAGCAGCAATGCGTCTGTCCAGTTGCACGGGGCAAATGGGCGCCGTGCAGGCTTGTTCATGCAAATGCATGCACCAGCCGCTGCCAACCTTTGTGACCTATAGACTAGTTACAAGAGGTTGCAAGACAGTGAATCTAAAGCTTAGCTTCTGAGTATGAAAAACCAGTGGTCAATGGTACTGGGTGCATTTCGGCACCAGCATAAAACAGGGAAACCCACCGCACAACCGCCTCATCAGCCAGGAGCCCACCCCAGCTGCCTCACACCCCCACCGCGCTGCCGCTGCCGCCACCGCCGCCAGCGCTGCTGCCCGCGCCGCGGGCGCCGCCCGGGGCGCCGCGCATGAACCGCACTTGGTCCACGAGCGCCTGGAAGCTGAAGGGCTCTGTGGCCGCCAGCTCAGACAGGACCTTGCGGTTGAGCTGCACGTTCAGCTGCCGCAGGCCAGCCTGAAATTCGGAGTACTTGACCTGATGGGGGGAGATCAGGCGACCAGGAGAGGTCCCGTGAGCGCGTTGGTGCTGACGAGGCGGGGGCGGGGCAGCGGAGGGTGGGGGTGACGCTGCGAGGGTGGGTGACGTTGGCCGGGGCATGCCGATTGCGTGCCACCTGCTGGCCCCAGCGCCCCCTCAGTACGCGCCGCATCTGCTCGTGGCCCCGGCTGGTGCAGATGCTATCAGCTCAGCGGTTGTGGGGGTGAGCCGACACTAATGTGCTGCCTCTGGAACCGATAGCTGCTTGGGACCGGTTGGGGAGCACCGCACCCTGTCCTCTCCAGCAGTCGCCATCGTCACACAGCTATGCTCACCCCATGCTCGCGAGACCCCGCATTGATGCGCTGCACCCAGAGGCTGCGATGCTCCCGCTTCTTCTCTTTGCGGCCGCGGTAGGCATGCAGCAGCCCCTTCTCCGCCTGCTGCCGCGCCAACGTGATGCAGTTGGCAGCGCGGCCCCGGAAGCCCTTGGCGAGCTTCCAGATGACCCGCTCTTTCAATCCCATCGCCTGTGCAAGGGCGAAGGCAGCTGGAAGGCTGAGGTTGCTTCACACCGGACGGCGATGTGTGGAGCCTGAGAGGGTTGTCTGACACCAAATGCCGCAAAGAGGTCGCTCATTGACGTCTGCTCGTTTAGAGGCGTGCGCGAGGCAACCCGATACCGTACATCAGCTGTGATCTGCCGGAACGCGATCTGAATACCGTAGCACACACACTTCGACGCCGTTCCGCAATGCCGCGAAACAGGGACCAGCAATCCTCACTGAGCGTAGTTATACCCGCATTGGTGAGCTGGACTGCGCTCGGGCGGCGCTGCGCTCTGTGGCGCGGCTGTTGACTGGCCTCGCTGGCGGCGCACACCAGGTTCACCCTTCACCCTGAGAGCAGCCATTGCCACAACTCGTGCATGTGCGCCGCAGTGTGAGCGGGACAACATAGGCGCGACGCTGGCGAGCGTGTTCAACTGTGCACAGCCGCCGCTGGAGGTGTTGGTCGTCGACGGCGGCAGCACTGACGGGACGGCCGCGGCCGCGCGCCGCGCCGGTGCCAAGGTAGGAGGCGCATAATCCCAGGCACAGTGGGCCCCAAATTGCTGTGACATCGAGTATGCTATGAAAAAGCGGGTCGGCCCGTGCAACAGGCGGCGGGGGGGGGGGGCAGCTGAGGTGGCCAGCTTGCGCGGCCCTCTCACCATCCAAATGACTGCTGCGCATGCGCCTAGGTCATCAAGGCGCCGAGGGGCCGCGGCGCCCAGTTGAATGCGGGCTGGCGCTGTGCGCGCGGCGAGTGGGTGATGTTCCTCCACGCGGACTCGCAGCTTCCTAGCAACTACCGGGAGCTGCTGGATGGAGAGCTGGAGCGGTGGCAGCTGGACCGGCAGCGACGACAGCAGCAGGAGCAGCAGCAGCAGCAGGAGCAGCAGCAGCAGCAGGCAATGGGCACGCAGGGGCGGCAGGAGTGGTGGTGGCCCCTGGGAGCTGGGAATGGGGCAGGCGCGAAACAGGAATGTGGTGCATGTGACGCGCCCTGCTGGGGCTGCTTCTCGAGCATACGCGCGACACAGGTGGGCAGGTGCTTTTCTGGGGGCAAGCTGCGCCAACCGCCAGTGCTGATTGCAACGACCCGCGATGCGAGAGGGTGACAGGAGAGTGTTCCAGACGGCTTCGTCCATTTGTGTTGCGGCCGCTCTGGCCAACACAACCTCCTTTGGTGTTCTGGCGTGGCAAATGCGCAAGAACGCGCTGCAAAAACAAGACTTTCACCGCACACATCATGCACACGTTAATGTGCGCACCTTTCATCCTTGCACCCGTACAAGCACACACAGTCGTGCGCTCATGCACTCATGAATACCGACGCCTTCGTTTCACGCAGCTCAACCCGTTCCTGGCCAATCTGCTGGAGCTTGGGGTGCGCCTGCGCACACATGTGCGGCACACACCCTATGGCGACCAGGGCATCTTCGTCAGGCGCAGCTGCCTGCAACACCTGCAGGTGTGTGCGCCGTCCACTCCCCGTGTGCGCACGCTCACGTCTTAAAAGCCGGCGGGACCCACGTCTCCATAAGCGTGCTGTCAAGTCGCTGTGTCCTCCAAGCCCCTCTCCCCACCCCCGAACAACCCGCGCGGCCGCGGCCTGTCGAGTCCACGCGCTTGGCCTGCCCCAGCTGGTCGAGCACCAGCGCCGCGCCCTCAAATTCCCCCGCGACGCGCAGGGCTTCAAGGAGTGGCCGCTGCTGGAAGACCTGGAGCTGGTGCAGCGCCTCAACGCGTGCTGCAGGCCGCTGATCCTGCCGGGGCCGGTTACGACGTCGGGCAGGCGCTGGGCGAAGCTGGGGTTCTGGCGGACATACCTGACGAATCAGGTGGGCTGGGAGGGGGTGTTGAGCAGAGTGTTTCAGTTATCTGGTCTCATCGTATTGACAGGAAGCTCAAAACCTGGCGCAAGCTTGCTGCTGCTGCGCATGTGTGCGAGCGGGCGGCGGCCGCGCCGGTGCCGAGTGCGCATGCAAAGCGGAGCGCAAGCCATCTGTGATTTACGTGCCCTCAGTCATGCCCACACATGTGCACACGACTTGCCCAAATCGACCGCGCGAGCACGCATGCAGCGACGCGATTGGCGCGCTGAGGCTTGCCGCACCGCGCCCCCATCCTCGGACAGGCCGTGCTGGCGGGATTCGCCGCGGGGGTGGAGGTTGAGCGGCTGGCTGCAATGTACCATGGAAAGGGCCGCACGGGGGGTGGCGGCCGCACATTGCAAGGGGGACGGGAGCGGTAATGAAGCTGGGTGGCTACGCAGGCTGGCCAAGAGCGTCTGGCCTAGTCAAAGGACCTACTGTAGGCGTGCAACGCTTATGATGGGGCTGCACTCTCTGGGCGGGAGGTTGTGCAGAATAAAGGGGTTGCCGCGAATGGGCGCCGGCGACGTGGTGCTCATGTTCAAGTGGGCCACCCTGACATGCGCGGAGCCAGCATGCGGGCAGGAGGGCGGGTGCGCCCCATCACAAAGCGCCGCGGGTGTGCCCGCGCACGGCAAATCCCATCCAACCTGCGTCCTTTGTCAACTTAGCGCAGCACTCGCACCTTCCAAGTCGCCCTGGTGATGGAGTGAGGTAGCCCGCGCGCTGCCCTGCCTGCACCGATCTGGCGCGTGCGTCCCGCAGTTTGGGCCTGAGGCTGGTCAACCAACGGGGGTGATACCCAAGTGAGTCATTGAATGGCTGGCTGGGCGCGTGGTGCCGCCCCTGCAGCAGGACGGCATGCTCCCGCGCACAGCCCACCTCCCACAGCTAACACCGACCTGCAATCGCACGTCACTGGAAGCATATATAAATGATTTACAGCTTTTTGGCCCGCGCAGCGGGCTCTGCATCCCTGCGGCGCGCGGCCTGCTGCATGATCGCGCCGGCACACGCACGCGACCCCCTCCCCCACACCCAGCGCCGCGGTTGTGCCCCAGCCTCTGGCCCGGGCCAGCCATGCGCGAGGACCATGAGGATGACCAGGACTGGCAGTCCCCGACGCGGCTGGGGAAGCGCAAGACGTCGCGGCGGATGGCGCGGTCCCCGGACGAGAAGCCGTCGCGTGAGAGTGAGCGTCCGCCTCGGGCCTCGGGGCCACGCTCGGCGCCTCGCATGCGCGGACATGTGCCTGCCTGTTGACACGGCGGCCAGCTCGCAGCCCTCGCCGGCCGCCCACGGGCGCCGCCGCGCCACGGCCCGCAGCATGAGCAGGCCGCAGCACCCAGCACCCGCGCCCTCACTCGGAGCCGGGTGCTGCCCCGCACCCATCATCGCAGCCGCAAACTATGGGACTGGATGCCGCTTCGACAGCAGCCTAGGCATGCTGACCAAGAAATTCCTGAACCTGATCGAAAAGGCAGAGGATGGAATCCTGGACCTGAACCAAGCGGCGGAGGAGTTGCAGGTGCGGCCGCGCGCCGCAGCACTCCCCCCCCCCCCCC